CGCTTGCTCACCCCTCCCATCCACTTGATGCCCGCTTGATGCTCGCTCACCCTGCCCATCCCAGTCCTATATTTGTTGCCTTTGTCACACTCTGCTCAGGTCACAAAGATAAGCATGCTGCCCACTCACCCTTTGCCTTAGGTCACGGGCAGAGGGCCAAGGACGTGCCATTCCCTGAGGCCCCAGAGCCTCCTCCTACTCACTGTTTGCCTTGGTCGGGTTGGAGAACACGCCATTCCCTGGCTCTGGCCTTCCTGAGGCCTCTTCCTGCATGTTCTTCATGCCTGCAGCCGCCATGCATCCCATTGCCTGCTGCGCTGGAAGGACTTGCCCAGGGGAGTCGAAGTGGAGTGGGGCAGCAGGCAATGTGTGTGCACGGCCAGTGCGAAGAACAGGGCCAGGGCCTTTGAAGGAGCAGAAATGAGACTGGTGAAGGGAGAGCGGGTAGCATGCAGGAGCAGGCCTTTGACAGATTAGGCAAGGCCTAGGCAGAAAATAGATAGATAGGTAGAAATTCATTTTTTTTTTCATACCAGGCTCTGTGGGTATTGCTTGGTGGTGGTGGAGTCATGTGACTGAGTGGGTGTGGGCATGAGTGATGTTGAGTTGGCCATGCTAACCTGGCCACATGACCCCCCCCCACCGCCCCAAAGTCATGCCCACAGAACCGGTAGGAAAAAAAATTGAATTCCACCACTGAAACATAATGTTTTTGACTTATTTAATTGAATTCTCTACCTATTTTTTAGGATGCGTGTGTGAATGTTTTCAGTGAGATTTGTGCAGAAGTATTGAAAATTGAAAAGGTTTCACAAACTTGATTGTGCTAACACACTAGTGTAAAGAATATGGTTTTTTGCTTGAATTATTGTAAAATAAAATCATGTTTTGTGAAATTAAATCAAATGCTTTTTACAAAAGGCAGACATAGCTAACTTAGTTGATTTTACAATTTTCTGACCTTCCAAGGAGAAGACATTCATGTCAGTTTATATGGCGCTGCTACAGATGTCAATGTGAGACTGGATAAAAACTCCTTGACAATCGAGAAGACTTACATCACTTTAGCAAATCAGAGGTCTGTGGTCATACACAATTGGAGTGATATCATTGCACATTTTCAGTGGAAAGCATTTGCAACGCATGAAAAGGAGGAAGAGAAAAAACAGATGTAAGTTTGGTATGATATCTTGTTTTTAAATAATGGACCAGGAGTACATTTTTGTGCACACTTATAATAGCTCCTTTCCTAACTTGAGAAAGTAAAGACTCTTGAAACGGATTATTTCAAAAGGAACCTTTAATCAGTCAGGATGGAAACCATTAGAGTCAAAGCAGCATCTGAAACCCTTTAGGCAATGCAACTGGGATTAAACTGATAATGACCCCTCCCCTTTGTCCGAATGCAGATTGTGACCAATACACAAGTGTGACGATGTCTCCTTA